TTGCATACAAAAGAGCATTTCAAGCAGTCCTCTGATCTATTTCCCTTCCTCCCATTCCAACAGATTTTTAAGTTTCTTCTAACCAATATATTTTACTATGAATGAAGTAAGGCTGCATCATGTAGACTTTTTTTTCCCAAGAATTCAACCCTAAGCTTTCCAATTCAGGCTCCAACAGTATAGACACTATTCCACTAAATAAGCATGCCCCCTTTGGAGACCAACAGAACTAAGAAGGCAACTCTCTTGTTACACAGGCCTCTCTCAATGCCTATATCTTGCCAAGCTTTGATCTCAGTATTTAAGGCAGTTCTGTATAACAAAGTGCCAAATGTAAGAGAGCTTTATCTGTTTCTCAACTAAAGGCACTTTTAGAGCTTCTGAAGGGGAAATTAGGTACTCTGCACATCTGTAGAATACAACTAATGTAAAATATACAACCTTATTTCCTTTTTTGTTGTCATGTACAGTAATTTCACAAACTAGTTTAATTCTATTATTCAATTCTAATAAAAATAAATGTGGTCCAGAGAGATAGTACAGAAGCTAAGGCACTTGCCTTGTACGTGGGCAACCCAGGTTGGATTCCTGGCATCCCATATGGTCCCCTGAGCAATGCAAGGAGTCACTCTTGATGGCAGAGCCAGGAGTAACCCCAGAGAACCACCAGGTTTGGCTCCAAAACCAAAAATAAAACAAATCACCTAATACCAATAAATGTACTCTTTCATTATAATGACAAGATCACAATACATTTTTTTTTACTTTTCTAACATTTATTTTTTGGTTTCTATCCAAATCATGGTGCCTGTCATTTTTTTTTTTAGTCAACTGAAATTACAGTTATTCATGATTATGTTTCAAGAGTACATTGTTGCAATACCAATCCCTTCACTAGGGTCCACTTCCCCTCCATCAATTCTCACCCCCATCCCCACACCCCACCGCCTTCATCCTCTTTGCTTCCCACCTACCAGTCGGCCTCTTCAAGGTACACTTTTTAATTAAAAACATATGTTTCCGGCATTGTCCTTTACAGTACTGCTGCCAATAGCATTTCATACTAATACTTGACCACTTTTCAGCACCACCTCCTCCTCCTCAGGTTTGATCCTTGCCCCCCGCCCACAGTCCTTGACCCCCCCCACCTATCTCCCAACTCCCACAGGTAGTGTTTTTCCTACTTACTACCAATTCTCATGTTCTTGATCACAACATATTTTAAATCAACACTCAAACTGCTCAACCTTTCTTTAAACTCAACTTCACATATTTTGTCTTTAGTTATTTCTGAGTCTCCCAATGTGCCTATCTCTTATTCTCCAAACAACATAAAACAGAATCTCCAATTGTACACAAAAATTTTTAGAGATTTTTTTTTACAACACAGTAAAACAATAAAATAAAGCTACTCTTTGGTATTCTGTATCCACAAAGCTACCTTACCTCTGAATAGTTTTCAGTGGAAGTTTTAATACTTCCTGATGATCTCCACAAGAATATCAGGGAATTCTACAAAATTGGAATTCCCAATTTTGCTAATTTTTTTAATTATCTTTTAAATGTATATCTTATTTTATAATTCTACTGATGTTTCAACTCTTCTCTGGAACCAAAAAAATACCACACTATAAATACTGAGACTATCTGCCTAGTATCAGCTTTGACTAAATCATAGGAGCAAAAAGTTTCAATGATAGGGGCTGGAGTGATAGCACAGCGGGTAGGGCATTTGCCTTGCATGTGGCCAACCCGGGTTCGATTCCCAGCATCCCATATGGTCCTCTGAGCACCGCCAGGAGTAATTCCTGAGTGCAAAGCCAGGAGTAACCCCTGAGTATCACCAGGAGTGACCCAAAAAACAAAAAAAAAAAAGTTTCAATGATATAAGAATATAACACTTTAAAGCCTAATCTTTCATGCCACAGACTGTTTTAAAAGATTGTTGCAGAATGATAAATATCATTTATACTAGATTTAAATGAAAACTTTTAAATCTTTAAATTAAAGATCATTGCTGAGGCTGAAGTGATAGCACAGCAGGTAGGGCATTTGCCTTGCACGCGGCAGACCTGGGTTCAATTCCCAGCATCCCATATGGTCCCCTGAGCACTGCCAGGAGTAATTTCTGAGTGCAGAGTCAGGAGTAACCCCTGTGCATTGCCGGGTGTGACCCAAAAAGCAAAAAAAAAATTTAAAAAAAAAAGATCATTGCTTAGTAACCTTAAGTAACAAATTTCTTTGTAAAAGTCTCTTTTTAGGGGAGGGGGCCACACTCTCGGGAGTTCATGACTTACTCCTGGCTCTGTACTCAGGGATCACCCCAGTGGTGCTTGGGGAACATATGGGATGCCAGAAATGGAACCGGGGTCTGTGGCATGCAAGGCCAGTGCCTACTCGGCTATACTATTGCTCTAGTCCTATAAAATTCTAAAATACAAGATGTTGCTAACACATACTAAGGAAACTTAACACATACTAAGGAAAATTAATTGTTTTAAATTAATGTTTAAAACTCCCAAGTCTAAGACGAATACTGTGCCATCATAACAAGGTTCACCATCCAGGATTGAGCCAAAGAATTCCATCCTAACATCTTTTTGATCAAAGACCTCTGAGAAAATTAAAGTTCAGAAAGCTCTTCCCAGAAAAATTTCACATGGGCACACACAAATTTTAATACAATGTTTGAAAGCAGGAATCAACAAAGAAAACTATCAATCCCAGGGAAATAACTGCTAACACTGATTTTAGGGAAACACAGCCTTAAATAAATGTTTGACATTCTATGAAAATATGTGTTTTTATTAGACATACACTGAACTTTGAAGACCAAGGTAAATGCTGCAGCACCTTCTGTTCTGAAATAACTGTAGCTAACTTTTCCAAAAAAGGGACTCTGTAACCTCTTGAGGTATGAGGCCCTGTGCCATCTTATCGGTCCCTCATCATCATTTTAACCATCTCTTAACTATGGAGACTCGAAAAGCTACCTCCGCCTACTTGAGTTACTGCTGACAAGCAGCCATCTAGTTGGCCCTTTGATACCTCAAGTGACACAACTCAGGGCTTCATCCCAATCTGAGGAAAGGCTGAGAAATGTTAAAAGTTCTAATTTGGCTAGCATAGTTTCTAAATTGTAAATACTGCCTCATAATTTCTCCTTCAATTACTTTCCAAGTAATGAAATACTTAGCCATTTAACGTATCATAAAATTAAGCAAATAATTGTTTCGACTCTTCCTTTAGAAAATAAGTCATTATTATGCTGAAAAAGTACTTTCCGTGTATAATTCAAAAATTTAAAGGGTACTTTCCGTGTATAATTCAAAAATTTAAAGGATCAATTAAGATGACATACTATACAGCTTCTCACTACATGAAACATTTAAAAATAACCAACATTGAAAGATATGAAAGACTGAAAGAATATAGTGACTTAATATTAGTATCGATTGTATCTACAAATAGTTTATTTTCATTTCAACTTACACCTATGATTCTGTAATAAACAGTTCTAACCAATGTGATATAAATATAGATATCATTATTTATTCATTAAATAAAGCTTTTCAGAAATACAAATTGTCTGTCTCCTTCAACAGCTCCTAACAGCAAGAAAAAACCTCCTATTGAGACCACTGAATCAATAAGGTTCATTTATCATATTATAAAAAAAATTCCTTAGCCATATGATCTTCCTTTTGACAACAGTTTCTGAACTAATCACAGTAATGCTGGACAAAAAAAAAAAAACTCAGCAATATTTTCCAAAGTGACCGATGTACTCAAATCAGATTTTTTTTTTAAAAAATTGATCCTTAATACAGCCAAACTTTATTTTCAAAATTCTACTCCCCTGGACCGTCTCAGAGAATCAAACACAGTATTGAGGAGGAGGCTACCTTGTAAGGAGCTTCTTCTGGCCTTTCAATAATTAAACTCCCCTCAGGGATACAAAGTAAACTTACCACTTACTCTCTGCAAATTGCATAGGTCACTATTTCAGTAAGTTGATACAGTAGGACTACAACAATTCCCTGGTAACAAATCTATTTTCTAATAAACAGCTGCTTCTCTACTCTCCCCCACCCCCAAACCAAAGAACACTTGGGAAAAAAAAAAAGGCACGGCATACTGAAGCTCTAGTAAACGGTCCTCTGAATAAAATCACGGACTGAAACACTTTATTGATCATTGTAGATAATTACGGATTCATTCATCACAAAACGTGCTCTCGCCCTTCATATTGTTTGATGCCCCATTCACTTAAAACTGAGTCCGTTTTAAATCAATGCACCGTCTTCTGGTGCCCAAATACTGTTCATCTAAGATTAAGTTTGACGATATGAGCTTTTTAACGCAAATTTTGTTCATCACCTTGTTACTAATATAAACAGGAATGACTGAAATAGCTTACCTAAAGCATGCACTAAAGATAGTTAAACACTGCCCCACCCCTCGTAAGGCAGAATGACTGGAACATTTTAATACCCTCCATCACGTACTAGTAACAGTTATAGAACCCTCCAATTGGCGCCAGAAGACGCATATCTTCCAGAAGCTTATTCTTAAATAGATTTCCTATCACCCTCTACACCAAACATTACACTGAGAATAAGTAATTGTTGAAATCACAAGCTCTGTAATCGCCTCGCTGAACAATTGTCATTTGCTCAACTTTTCCCTGTTTTTTTTTTTAAATATCGCTAAAGGTAAGGGAAAAAAAAACATATGTGAGGATTTTCCGGATAATTGCTCAATTAAGATTAGATTTCGGAGCTTGGAAATCATTACGGGACATTATGAAAATTCCAAAGTGAATAAGAGAAAGCAAGATGCTAAGAGGAACGGGTTTATGTGCAGACACACTGACCACGTCTGTGTAAAGTCAGAGAGAATTTGCGGATGCCAACCAGGACTTCCAAAAAATCTACCCCTCCCCCCGCCCTTCCCTCCACTCCCTCCAGCCCCTCAGTCTGGCGGGGGATGCTACTCACCGAGTTTCTCCACCAACTTCAACATCACCCCTCCGATGTGCACCTCCCCGGTCACCCTTAAGGTGACATCGCGGTTCAGGTCCGTCACATGAACGCTCAGTTCCCACGTCCCGTCCGCGTAGCAGCCATCTGGCATCCTTATCCCGTCCAGAGCCATGGCTCCTTCCTGCGAGCACGGAGGAAATGGCCCTCGTCAAGCGTCACTCCCCCAGAGGCCGGCAGATCCCACCGCACTTCGGCGAGGCGGCGCGGCCGCGCGCGGGGTGGGACGCGGGGGGCAGCCCGGCGGGGGTGCGCGCGGGATCCGGGCCCCCCGCGCCCCTTCCCGGCAGGCGCGCAGGCCCCCTCCGCTTCGCCCCGCGCACTGCGCCCGCCTAGCGGACCGCCACGGGCTTCACCTGCCGGCCGGGGAGCCGCCGCCGGCGGGGGGTGGCGCATTCCTCCCCCGCTGCCTGGTCCCGGAACCCCCACCCCACCCCCCGGACCCCGGGCCCCTCACCGCGCGCTCCTCGCGCTCCCGCCCCGGAGTTGGCTGGGCAACAGGCGCGGGGCGGCGGCGGCGGGGCAAGGGGGCGTCCGCGTCGTCGTCTCCCTCCTCAGCCCACGACCAGCTGCCTCCCGGCCCGAGCGGCTAATGGAGTCCGGTCGTCACGGCCCCTCGCCTTTCTCCCGGCGCTCCACCCCTCTCTCCCCGCCCCCAGAGTCCGAGTGCGGCTCCGCCAGGGCGCGCCTGCTCCCTCCTCCTCCGCCCCTCGGAGCGGCCCGCAGCGGGTCGGCCCGGCCCGTCCCCTCCCCTCCTTCCCCTCCCCCCCGTCCCCGTCCCCGTCGGGGCCGCGCTCGGGGCAGGGGGGCGGCGCGCGTGTCCGGGCCTGGCGGGGGCGAGGGATGGGGAGCGGGCAGCGCGCGCGCGTGCAGGGTGGGAGCCGTGCGGGCCCGGCGGGGGACGCCCGCGGCGGCGGCAATCTCGGTCCCGCCGAACCGCTGCCCTTTTATGGAAATGAAGGACCCGGCGTCGGGATTGCATCCAACATCCGGGCTCTCGGCGGCGGGACCTGAGGAGGGGGAGCGAGGGGAGCGCGGGCTGGCGGCCTCCCCGCCGGGGCGCTGTCGGGGGAGCGGCCGGCCGCTGGCCTCCCGCGCGGGTCCCCGGCGGTGGGCGCCAGGGCTTCCAGCCCCGGAGGAGGAGGAGGAGGAGGGGGTGGCTGTTCATGAGAAACGGGCCACAGGAAATTCCCGGGGCAATGTTGTTTGCAGGGAACAAAGTCGTGTGTGCGCGCGTGTGTATGTGTATGCGTGTGTGCGCGCGCGCGCGCGCGTGCGTGTGTCCCCTCACCCCACGCCGTCCGCCCCTTCCCCAATTCGGGAGCGGGTCCAAAATTCCCGGGGCGGTGAGAGGTGCCGCACTCCGGAAGCTGGAGAGCGGAATTGGGGACTGGAACACTGAGGGGGGGGGTGGAGGGAGGGAACCCTCTGTGCCCAGTCTTCACGAACATCCCACCCAAGAATGAGAACACGCCGAGGGAGGCGAACCACAAAACTTGCTTTGCCAGCAATGTCCGGCGCGGTCGGCGACTCCTACCGGACTCCCAGAAGTTTGCCCGCCGCTCTTAACCCATTCGGGAGCTCCGGCGAGAGGCCAGTGCGCCCTGCGATGCTCTTCTGTCTCGAAAAGAAAAGAAAAATTCGCGCGATGAGTTTGATTCGAACTCTCTCCGGCCTCTCCGGCTCTTCAGACGTGTGTGTCGGATTTTCGGTGGTGCAGCGTAGAACTCACTGGATGCTGAGGCATTTGCATGGATCTACAGCCTCCACCGCACCCTAACCACACCTTGAAGGAATGTTAATAGCTCTGGAATGATGCCCGCAGGTACGAGGAAATGCTAAAGAACGGTACCCGCAGCGAACGACCTAGTGATGGAGAACAGTCCCCATCTCCTCCTTCCCCTTTTACTTCAGCGCCCACTCTGCAACTCCGTGAACGCGGCTCCTTTCACAAATAGCAAGCTAATAAGGGCTGCTAAATAAATGTACGGCTCAAAGAGTATGGAAGCCCAAGACCCATAAAAGACCCATTTAAAAGCACAAACTGCTTGAACTGCCGCAATTGCTTGGAAGAGAAACCCACAGGGCAAATAAAGCCTTTGTTCCACAATACAATTGGGAAACAGGGTTAGAGGCCTCATGAAAGGGGTGGGTCCCCTGAAGGAATGAAAGGAAAGCAGAGAAATTTAGCCAGAAGCCAGAGGTTTGGCTCTAAAAAAATAGGGAAAGCCACCAGGACAGTCTTTTCAGCTAGTCATCATGGAGAAATTGATGCCTCTGTCTCTGGTCTCTCCACCCTCCCATTATTTCTACTCCTGGAAGTTCTAGTTACTGAAGCAAAGTCAAAGAAGGCATGTGTGAGTGCAGTGCTGTTAAAAATACACACAAAAAACCCCACATTTTAAATAAAATAAGACATTGCTTACTAACATTAAAATACTGCTGGAGAAATAGTATAAGGAGTAAGGCACTTGCCTTGCATGCAAGCAACCCCAGTTCTATCCAGGATCACGACTAGGAGAAAACCGTAAGCACCAGTGAATGTGACCCAAACCTTCCTTGGTACCCCCACCACCAACAATGTAAATAAAACATTGTAGATAGAATTATGAAGACACAAACTTACTGGTTTTAAATATTCAGAGGAAAAAAGTGGAAGGAAATTAGCCAAAATGTTAAGTTGTCTATATTAACATCATAGCAATTGTGTTTCTTTTTCCTTTTCTATGAGTTCCAAAGCTTTGTGTTCAGGGCTTTTCTAGAACTACTTTGAATAGTATCCAACACCTCACTTTCTCTTATGTGCCTTTACATTCACACTGATATATACAACTGATATAACAGCTACTGGACTCCTGGCAGATTTTCAGGGGTGTGTGTGCACACGCACGCTTGCTTTAATGCCCTCAACTAAAATGTGAGTTCTTTTAGAGCAGGGACTTTGAATTCTTTGCGTTGTTCACAAATTTACGTAGTTTGGCACTGAAAAAAATGAGAAATTGGTTTGTACCATATCAATACAAATGTCAGGAAAACTGTATGATTTCTGAGATAGACTTCATTGCGAATGGTACTAAACCAGAAACAGGAGGCAGAAGGTGAAAGAAGCAAGATTCTAAGTGAAACCAGGTGGAGAATGTTGCTCAGTGGAAGAGCAGATGCCTTGTATACTGAGGCCCTGGGTTCAAGTCCTGGCACCCCAAAATAAACTATAACATGAAGCAAAGAATGAAGCTAAGAATTGCACACTCAAGGATCTACAAAAGTGCTCCACTAAACACCCTAAAATAAACTATAACATAAATGACACAAGGAACAAAGCTAAGAATTGTACATTGAAAGACCTACGAAAGTGTTCTAGTAGAGCTCCAAATAACCATAGCTTCTTAAATATACCGTTATAGAACCAGAAATATCATGTACTCTCTGAATATTCCCTTCCATCCAGATAAATTTGCCAACTGTCATGTCTCAGGTGCCCTTTCAATACTTAGTTTCATTCTTTCTCTTTGCTCAATTTCCAGTGAATTATTTTCTGAACAATTTCTCACCATAGTGCCTATAATAATAGCCCACTTGTGTGAAGGTTCCCTACATTTAAAGATGACAAAGAATTTTTACTACTGTAAAGAATAGCCCCATTTCTTTTTTTTGTTTTTCTTTTTGGGTCACACCCAGCGATGCACAGAGGTTACTCCTGGCTTTGCACTCAGGAATTACTCCTGGCGGTGCTCGGAGGACCATATGAGATTCTGGGAATCGAACCCGGGTCTACCTCGTGCAAAGCAAATCCCCTACCCACTGTACTAAAACTCCAGCCCCATAGCTCCATTTCTTAACATTGCTATAACGTGATTTTCAGCTTTTGGAGGCATCTGACCAGCTTTAGAAGACTGGCAGCTTGTTTTTGGACAGTAAAAAACAGGAAGGCAGAGACCCTCCCTTAGGTAGCATCAGAGGAACAGATAAGAGTAGGATGACTTCTGACAGACCTTCTATTTGAGTATTTCAAGCTTTCACTGGTTTTGAAAATTAAAGAGGTGACACTCAAATCTCTGAAAGTGAAATTCTTTTTCTACTTATTCAACTGATACCTTCAAGTACATTTCTTAATATTAACATCCTGCTTAATGTTGTTCAGCATATTCAAATGTGAAATCTTATCTAGAACCCCCCTCCCCAAGAAAACCTCTAAGACAATGCAATCTTTGTGATACTTACATCATATTGAAAAGTAGCAGAGAGCTCCTCTGTTTGGAAGAACAGCTCAAGCACTGAAAGCAGCAATATCCAAATAAGGTACCAAGCACTGGGCTTCGATTTAGACCAAATGATACCTCACAGATCTGCCCTCAAATGCAGCCTGCTGGCTTGGTAAGCCCCAGGTTGATTTCAGCGTTTTCTCTGAGTCTACTTAAATAGTGCTTTATGTTTCTTAAAGATTAACACAAAATATAACTCAGAGTTTGATAGAAAGAGATAGGGAATAAGCAAAAATAATAATAAAAAGTTTACACGTGGGCGTGAAGTTGGTTGGGAGGGAGAGATTTAAAAATAAGATGAGTCTAACAAGATGAAATGCAGTGAATTATTCCTGCCAAATACCAGGTGAGCCGGATTCTCTGCTTGTTTGGGAACATAATGTAAAGCTTACAAAAGAGGTAGAAATCAAGGAGCCTGGGGAATGAACTAGAAATGAGAAGGGAAGTTGCAATGGTAACTTTATATATAGAAGTGGGCATTGATTATGAAAAGCAAGAAAAGGACGGGTAAACCAAGAAGAAAGATTTTTAAGGCAGAGGCTATTTACAGGTCCCTAAGATAAGGATGATTCAAGGATAAAGATACACAACACTTGTATTTGCTGCTCTAAATTATAGAAAGTTTTTGCAGGAAATCATAGCAGGTGGCATATTTTCAAAATTCCTTTGACTTATGAGTTTGAACATCAGGTAGTCTTGTGAAATGCCTGGCTTCTGATAAAAAATAAAATATTTACACATACTTATATAAAAAAGGTAACTATTTGAGTGCTTAGCATGGTGCATGATACTGAAACAGATATGAAGATAGAACCACATGTTTGCAAGCTGTAAAGGAATGTTTATCTTATGCAGACGACTTAAAATTTAAAAATCAGAAAACAAAATCCACATGCAAAAAGAATGAAATTAACACCTTATCTTTTGCCACAGGTAAAAAGTAATTCAAAGTGGCTCACAAACCTAAATGTAAAATCTAAAAGTATAAAATTCTTCTAAGAAAATATTTGGACCTTAGATTAGGCAATAGTGTCTTCTTAGCTAAAACAGCAAAGCAGGGACCAGAGTGATAGCATTACACTTGTCTCACCTACAGCCTACTTGTGTTTGGTCCCTTGTGCCACATTTGTCTCCTGAGCACAGCCAGAAATGATCCTGGAACACAGAGCCAGGAGTAAGCCCTGAACACAGCCAGATGTAGCCCTCAAACTAAAACAATAAAAAGGCAAAGCAAAAGTGACAAAATACAAACTGAATTTTATTAAAATTAATCATATTTCAAAGCCAGCATCAAACTGTTAAACAGAGGAGAACATAGTTGCAAATAACATCTCTTTTAAGGTATTTGTATGCGGAAGACACAGAGTTATCACAGTTCAAAACTAAGTGTGTACAGAGCAAAGAGTATAATCCCTGAGCACATCCAGATGTGCACCTCCCCACCCCACCCCACCGAAAAAATTTGAAGCTTAGGAGTGA